TTTAAACTGTTGCATCCCTATAATGTAGCATCTGTTTGTTACTTGGCTTTCACTGGTGTTCGCTCTAACATGGTGATTTCCAGAATGCTCTTCAGTGTTTGAAGTTGGTTTTGTAGGTCTGAGCATAAGCTCTTACAAAATGTGATGTCAGCTGTCTGTTCTCACACATCTAATATTTCCTTCAATTTCTGTGATTGTAAATGACAGCTATTAAGAGAACTTTTTATCCATATAGAATAAGGCTCAAATAATCTTCTTGCACTTCAGAGACACTAGACTTCCTTCAGCAAGAAATGAGTGTTCTGACTTGGATATCTATTCTCAATGCAGGATATCTTGATTTGAGAAGTTTGTTTTAAAGATTTTTTTTTTTAATATTCTTAATATAACATATCTGTTGGTTTTTAAAAGTGCTATATAAAAATAGTGTTTCTGGTGTAAATAGAAATCTGACTGGTGAATTTAATTTCTGCTTGTTTATCACCACACGTATAATACACAGTGTAGCAAACACCCTGATAGTTACTCCTAAACTATAAAATAACAAAGACTATTTTAGTGAAAGCATATCTGTATTATTTTTGAGACCCGCCACTGAAGGAAGAAAAAATGTATGACAGGACTGCCATTTCAGCTGTCACTGTGAAGCTGGAGAAACACTTATTTTTCAGTTTCATCAGTTCCTTCTTTTAAAGCAAGGCCAGATGAAGCAGCAGTTGTAGCTTAATTATGGAAACTACTGCTCACTAATACAATTTTTTTGGTGCTGTTAAACTTTTTTTCTTGGAAGAATGAAAGTATTGTGGCTTATGTGTAGGTGGGAAAGAAAAACGAAGCTTTCTCTGAGTTTGCTGTTATAAATTAGTTTAGTTCACTTTTTTTTACGGCTTAAATTGTATTAATAGAAAATACAATCATGTGTAAGTATGCCTCTACTAAATGGCATTCTTCCAAGGGATGTATCATTCTCATTGCATTAAATGCTGCTCCAGGATTCCAACTATATGAAGTAACCCTACACGGTAGGTAAAAAGATCACTTCTCAACACACTGGGGAAAAATTTACTTTTAGTGTAAGTGTTAAAGGTTCTCACTTGATGGAACTAATGCTCTAGCATATTGAGAATACAGCATTGAGTACCTTTTGTTTTAGATCATTCCAGAAATGGTTAAATATTTTAGCTGTATAAACCCTTAGTATTTCAGACAGTATTAATGCTAATATGTAGTGCTTAAGACCTCTATTGAGTTATGTTGCTTTTCTTTTATAGCTGTGTGGTAGATAGAGAGTAATTTACACTTTAGAATTGGTAAGATCAGTGAGAGTTATGTGAGATGAATAATTTTAAAATTAGTTGTGTGAAATACTACTACTCAGAGTGAAATAAATTTAAATCTTTGTATGATCTCTGTAGGCTTTATCTGTGTACATAAATGGACTTAAAAGTTTGGAATGTTCCGTATTTTTAGTACTGTATCACTGAGTTCACATCAGTGTCTGATTTTGGGTTAATGAAGATTGTGTCTGTAGGAGAGAGGAATGAGGTGCCTTTAATGTAAACTACTCCCCTGCTGTGCGATGGCTTCCTTACTAGGGTTTAATAGAGTAAATCTAGCTATAGAACTTCCAGTGTTTGATATAAAACACTGAAGCCACATGATGTAAGAGACTGATCTGGTTCAAATTCATTAGTCTGCTTTCTATTAGCTCAAAAATTATGGACTGTATACATTTTTATCAGGAGAGTTTTAAAGATTAAGCCTGACTATACTTGAGTACAATATTTTTTTGCAGCAGCTTGCTAAAAACTGGCACTAGCTCCGATTTTATGCTCTATCAAAACAGAAGTCCAATCACACAAATTCAATTAACCTGGGTCAAATTCTACTAGAGCATCATAGATCTGCTGTCAGCTGTGGAACCTTCACTTTGGTGTGTTTTCCATATGAAAATAACTCAGCTTGGTATGGCCTGTATGGGATTACACACACGTAAGTAATTTCTGAGCTGATACAGTACTGCCATGCTCGTCAGCATGTGTAGTTAGGAATCCTAGCATTATAGTCAGGATTCCTTTTATGTACTTCTGTTTTTTTTTTCCCCAGTAAACTGTGAAAGAACTTTGAGGGCATAAAGCAGAGGAGAAGATACCTGCAAGTATTACAGACATAAATGATTTAGACTGCATTCCTGTTACAAAAACCAGACTCTCAGTGTGAATGAAAAGTGCTAGCAGATCATAGCCTCTGTGTTCAATTGCATCATCTGGCTCAGGACTGAAAATAACCCCAAACTTAGGTGTGTGAGAGAGAGAGGTGTGTTTGCATAAGGAAAGTATAGAGTAACACCTGAGTAAATAAATACTACTTTGAAGTCATACTTGAAATGGCTTTTCATCTTTTAAGTGCTTCTGTTTCTGCTAACAGCCGTTACAAGAAAGTGTGTCTATGGCTAAAATGTAAAGCTAAATTTTTGCAGTCCAAGATCTTTTCTATTAAGGACAGGCTACACAGAGAATGGAAGGTAGGAAGAAAGAAATTTCCTTCAGCGTATAGTTTTATTTTTCTCTACATCATTCCCACATATGAAGAGAAACGTGTTTGGTTTTATCTACTTTGTATCTGAAACAGATTAAACAGTAGGTAGCTCCATAAAGGTCACAAGGCTTTCCTTTGAGTCTAGTGTCTTGCAATATAGCTGTTAAACCAGGGAAGTAGATGTGGTTTTTAGATACATCTACATAGAATATCAGCATTCTTTAGGTAGGGTGGGGAATGATTTACCATTTTTCTCTCAACATTCACCAGCTTTAAAATAAAAAGGAAATAGTTCAAGACTAATGAAATAAAAATTAGAGGCAGGGAAATGACACTGACATCCTGAAGCATGTTGAAAGGTGACACTTTCCTCACGAAGGAATGAGCTTCACTCCAAGCATTGGAAACTTCTGCCACAGAACAGCTAGTGTGAAACTGCTGGTTTGTTAGGCTGAGTTCCTGTCCTCCACGTCAGATGCTGCTTTCTTTGAAAGTGGTTATCAGTTTCTAGATTGAGTAAGCAGAATCTGCTGGGGTATATAAATAATGCCCACGAGTGGCATGGCATGGCATTGATATTTTAACTGTGCCTTGTCTGAGAAAGTAATTCACTTTCTGCTTTGAGGCTTGTGGCAGTGCTGTATGTAATTTTCATGCTATGATATGTTGTATTTGTTATGGCAGCTGCTCACAAATTACTTCTTCAAGCTGTTTTCAATGGTTTGAAAAAAACCTAAAAGCTTTATTTTTGTATTGCAATATTTAATTTTTTGATACAGTGCTGGAATTTCACTTTTGTATTTTTTTAAAAACATGAAATACAAATGTCCTGTTTTCTTCTAACTAGAAATGTAGAAAACTTGAGTAAATGAAGGAAAAATAAGCTGCTTTCAAACCTTTCTCAGTTTAACTTTTAGTAGTGGCCTTCAGTGTGCTGACGTCTTTTGAAACTTAGTTGTACTTTATGCAAGCTTTGTGTAGCTTTATTATGGAATAGGTCTTGCATTGGGAAAGGCAGTGTGTTTGACAAACATTATTTCTACTATCTTCTCCAGAATTTTACAGTTCAATAATTTTTAAAATTTGTCACTAATTGTTTAGAAAACATTTTTTAAAGTCATAGTTGCTAGAGCAAATTTTTATTTCTGTTTTTATGTAGTCTAAAAAGACTCTGCATTACCAAATACCTGGTTGTTTTGAGATGGACTTGAGTTGATAGTAGGTGCTGTAAGATATATCAGTAACTTCTGATACATCTTAAAACTAGTGAACATCTAGGCATGTTGAATTACTTTCTCTCTTAATTTTTTCTTTTTACTTTAAGGAACAGTTTTAAGGTGAGTTTAAGCCAATCTTGGGAATTAAATTATACAGTAGTCTAGTGATGATCTGGAATAGGCTTTTAATGAAGTCTCTTATCTTTTAGATACATTCATGTTTTGATTAAGAAGTTAACTTTCCTTTTCCAAATATGAACAACTGTTCTGCAGTTAGTCCTGAGAGCTGGCTCTTTGCCTGGCCTGGCTTTGTTGTGCTTTGTATTACTATATCTTTAGTATTCTCTGCTGTTTCTCACTCTTGTTAAAGATTAGTTTTATTAGTCTGGTGCTCATTGAGAGTTTCAGCAGGCTTACTCAGCCCAAGCTGATGCAACAGCTAAACTGTAACTGGCTGGTCTAAATACGGTATAAAGATGCTTCCAAAAGTTACACTGCATTTTAAAGGTAGACCTACTTTTAATACTGAATGTAAAGACCAGCCAAGATTACCAAAGTTCATGCTAGACTTTATAAGATCCTCCCTCTATTCATGTAATCTTCAGAAATTTCTGCAAATACGCTGTTTATCAACACTTGCATTGCATTTTGGTTGCAATAAGGGAAGGTTGGAAGGCTTTTCAGGTGTAGTTTATCTCCAGTTGTAATCACTTCTGTGGAAATGGGCTTTATAAATCAACTTTTTAAGGGTAGGTGTTGTGATACATTTTCTGCAATTAAAAATTAGTAACACCAGAGGAGAGATAATAGACTAAAAAGGAAACTTTGAATACTCTTTCAAGATTTTATTTTGTCTCTTGTAACAAACTGGACAAAATTTGAAACCAGATTAATTTATCTCCCCTTAAGCTATACCAACTGTATAGCACAGTAAAAATTTAGGATTAAATACTCAAAACTTTTTGATGGTTCCTGTGGCATTTGTTATGTACCATAAAATGCCATTTTGGTGTTTTGAATACACAGAAGACATCCATCTGTAAAAGTTTCTATTAGAAAGTGTAAGAAACTACCTTAAGGAGGTAGAAGAAATAATTATAGCAAGGTTTAGGACTACTGTATCTTTTATTTTTTGTTATTGACTACTTAAATATCAGCATTTAGGAGGATATTTAGTTTGCAGCAGAGGGAAAGGAATGAATGTGAAGCTAGCAGTTAGCTTACCACAGAGGTGGGAAGTGGAGGATGAGGCAAAAAATGGAGATGATGATGTATCAGATGAAGAATTGGGATAGCTGTGACTGCAGTCTTCTGGTAGCTTTAATTTCTTTTGTATGGAGTCTGGACTGCAAAGCCAAGAGGTGGTATTTCTGTTACTGTTGTCCTGTCCCACTAAATCTCATCCTCAGTTATTTTTGTTTTGTGTACTTTTCCATACTCAGTTTTAATTTTTGTGGGTAATACAGCTCGGTAGTATATTAACAGCTCAATATATTTTTTTTCTCTGTTTTTCTTTCGAATTCTGTAAAGATAGTGAGGACAGGTGAGAGGGGGAAAAAAGGTTTTATTTGTGTGGTTAAGTGATGTTTAAATTTTAGTAGAACTTTACTGCCTTCTTTAAATCTACCACTTCATTTTATTTTTATAAAAGCTAATGCTGTCCTCATAGACTGTAGGGAGCAAAAAGCTCTTAGCTGAATCTTTACATCCTGAGGGAGTTAATATCTTTACTGGCAAAGATGATATAGGTGGGTTGTAGTAGAGATTGTTGAGTGAGGGGTTGTTGGGAGGATGTGCAAGCTGTGAAGATGTCAGTAGAGTTGATTCCTGTGCATTTGACTCTCTGTAGATTGTCTCTAAGTGTATTAGGCCAGGCAGAGCAGTGTCTTTTGGGTGTTTGGGTTCCTGAGCTGTGGAGAAAAGGCATTTTGGAGATAAAACTAATTGACTTAGAGTATTTTAAGAACAAAACCTAAATTTGAAAGTATTCTCTCTCTTACTGTCACAGTTATAATGAATATAAATTATCTTTTGGACTTGGAAAGATACACATTTATTAGATGTGTATTTATTATAGATGGTTCAAGAGCTACACCAGCAGTCTGAGAATAGTGTAAATATTTGTGAGTTCATTATTTGTAGTAGGTAAGTATTCTCTAGCAAACATTCTGATCCTTGCCAAACAGTGTAAATATGCACATTTTTTGAGAAATAGTTAAAGATTTTAACAGTGTCTGAGGAAGGACAAGTTTATTTTCACACCAAAGTACATATCCTTAGAATTCTAGTGACGTCTAATGCAATTAATGCAGTATGCTCAAAGTAGTGGAGTTACATTTTTCACAGCAGTTCCTGTGAGTTTAGTTTAACGTTGGTCAATTTGCAAAAGTAGAAAAACTGAAAGTGACTGTAAGTCTGATAGATTTTTATTTCCTAAATTAACACAGCAAGTGAAATAAGCCTAACTACAGTATTAGAAGTATTATCCTTCTTCTATCTCAGCTTTTTGTAATAGGAATTGGGAGCCGATTGTGGCTTTTTTCCTTGATTTGCTGTTCAGTTTCTATATGGTTTCTTTCACGTCCCATCTCTGAAATTTGCCTGCAGCCACCACTTAGCACAAATCAAGATAACTTTTGTATTGCATTGTATAATTGCTCAGTAAGTGACTGAAAGGTACTATGAAACACTAATTCCATTTGTACTATGCAGAGCTTAATCATAGTGATGCAGTGCTTCCATCTCTGCTGTCAAATGAAAGCAAGCAGCAGGGAAAGAAATGCAAAAACTGCATGAGTTTCCAGTGTCTGTGCTGTGTTCCAGAATCATACAAGTGGTATTCTAGGTACATTTAAATTCAACGCTAAGTGTGTAATCTGCATAATTATAGCTAAGATTTCCTAAAAAAACCTGAGCCTCCCTTCTGTGAATGCTTCTCCGTTACACAAGCCTGACTCATTCTTATTCAGTGAATGTGCTTTACAATGGCTTCTAAATACCCATTCTATTACAACAGAATTGTAGAGTTTTCATTCTTTTAATTCTTGACTGCAGAGGGAGTTTTAAACTTTCAATGTTATGAATTGTCTCCTGTCTAGAAGGAATTTTGAATCTTGGACTTCATGAGGAAGTTTGCATTCTCTTCTCTAAGGCAAGCCCTTTAAATTTGATCTTTGTCTGTATTTACAGGTAACTGAGCTGAACGAGCCTCTCTCAAATGAGGATAGAAACCTGCTGTCTGTAGCCTACAAGAATGTGGTTGGAGCTAGACGATCCTCCTGGCGTGTCATCAGCAGCATAGAGCAGAAGACTATGGCAGATGGGAACGAGAAGAAGCTGGAGAAGGTTAAAGCCTACAGGGAGAAGATAGAAAAGGAGCTTGAGACAGTCTGCAATGATGTTTTGGCCCTCCTAGATAAATACCTGATCAAGAACTGCAATGACTTCCAGTATGAGAGCAAGGTCTTTTATCTGAAAATGAAAGGGGATTACTACCGCTATTTGGCAGAAGTTGCTGCTGGAGAGAAGAAGAACAGTGTTGTGGAGGCCTCAGAAGCTGCCTATAAAGAGGCTTTTGAAATCAGCAAAGAGCACATGCAACCCACTCACCCAATTAGGCTCGGGCTGGCTCTGAATTTCTCAGTGTTCTACTACGAAATCCAGAATGCTCCTGAGCAGGCCTGCCTTTTAGCCAAACAAGCCTTTGATGATGCCATAGCAGAGCTGGACACACTAAATGAGGATTCCTACAAGGACTCCACTCTCATCATGCAGTTACTTCGAGATAACCTCACTCTGTGGACGAGTGATCAGCAAGATGAAGAAGCAGGAGAGGGCAATAATTAAAAAGCTTTCCTCTAATCCCTCTTTCATCCACTTCACCATCCCCATCATCACCAATATTTCCTTGCCACAGTCACACTAAATATCTAGTGCTAAGCATATCTGTATTGTACAGCTGTTCAGATCTGCTGTCCACTTTATCAAGAAGCAGTTTCAGATGAGTCTTCATGGGCATTGATGGATTGATTGGTTTATTGGCCCTATTTATCTTAGTTGCACTTGAGCAGTGCAGAAAGATGCATAGTAAACGAGGCAGTTTTAGGTTGCCTGTTGATTGGAAAATATGGGAAAGAATAATGGAAAGTGGTTGAAGATAACTAGATTCCAGTTAAATTTTGTTTCCATTTGAAATGAGCTGACAGTTCTGTTAAGCAGTACATTTTGTGCATGCAGAGTAAATTAGCCACCCCAAATTTTTTTCAGTCAATGAAGAGTTAAGCTGATGTGAAATGACAACTCTGTTCATCAGTTTACAATAAACTAATTGACATGTGAGGTTTCTGTAGCAATTTTTTTTGCCTCTAACTTATGTGCACAGTTTCTTTTAATGCAGTGCATCTACCTAAGAGTTTTGATACTTGTAACCTTTTGCAGTTGTTTTGAAGAATCATGAATTTATTTTTTGTAAACTCTTTGGCTGTTTAGTTGTCTGTGTTTTATGACAACACTATGTCAATATTAGCCCATGTTAAGATGGATGACTGAGATGCCAGACTTCTCAATTAAATGTTTTGGAATTAAATGAATAAAAATAAAATGCTGCTTCTGGGATGTTATCTCTATGTAAGCTGTCGTCCTGTCTTTTGTTCAGAGCAGAGATTACGTTACCTAACACATCACTGATGGGTTAGACCATGTTTACTCAAAAGTTTAACGAGAAGTTGCCTCACATGCTAAAAAAAAATAAACCAAAAAAAACAGCACCAAAAACTGAACCAGTGTGCTGAAAAAAACCAAAACCAAACAAAAACCACCACAAAAACCAAACACACCCACAGCTGTCTAGACTATAATACCACTCACCTGTGTTAAAGTGCAGTTTCCAAAGGTATGTTATTTGCTTGGTAGATGAATAGCTGTAAAGAACATTACTGGTTTTAATAATGCAGAGACTTGTGTTTCATTCTGCCCATTGTAACTTCTAAACTTTTTTTTTCCCCTCAAGTGCTACCCACCACATCACCTCTATACATGAAAATCCAGTAACTTTATTTCATAGCTACCTGCTTCAAGCTGAAGCAGTACTTGTTCTGAAAGAATGCCCCTCTGTTTTAGCTAAGTTAAGCCTAGTCTCCAAGCTTACGCTAGTGGTTTGGTTTTTTTCCTCCCAACAGTTAGTGTACATGTTTAATGGTTCTGTAGTTCCACAGTGGTGTGTTACAGAAGCAGGAAAGGTTAGCTGTTATGTGTTGCTGTATCCAAACTGCTACTGACACCTGTGCTGGCTCAAAGGTCATATAAGTTCTCATTTAGCTAAATCTATTATTCTTTGATTTGTTCAATAAATATCACTGGTCTGAATACTCACAACTGCTCGAACTTCTCAAAAGTAGTGCACTGGTTGTTTTTAAGTAGCTGGAGCATTAACATATTTAATGGCAGATTTGTATGTACTTATATATTCTGTTGTTTAGGTAATTTAACTTTATTACATCAGTAAAGTTAGTGACAACTGAAAGACTAATGCAGCATCTGAAAAAGATGAAAATACAGGTCCTTGATGTGATACTGTAAACTCTTGAGGTGCTTGACATCCTAAAGTAGGATGTCAAGGGGCCAGGACCTATTCTGGAAGTCACTTATTTGCTTCTGTTTCACCAAACAATATACAAGTCCCTATCTTTCAGTTTCCTTTTTTGCAAGTAAACCTTGCAGGAGTCTTCTGGCCACTAACATCCGTGTGGGCTTTAGCTGTTTCCTAGATTCCTGTAGCTTACTTTCCTTCCCCTCAGATCTGCTTACCTGCCTCTGAATAATTAGTAGTATTGGCAATCACTAGGTTTATTTTCTTCCTGTCTGTAGTAGTACCACTGTTTTTATTAACTCAAAAGCTAAGGAGTCCTTTCTCATTGTAGTTACTGACTTGTGCAGATCCTTTATCACGAAACTATGAGCATTACGTAGTCTGCAAGTGAGCCAGCACGTCTAACATCTCTGGACCAGGTAGTTGAAGATTAGCTATTGACACGGTCCATAAGATCCAAAATGGAGACTACAGGGATTATGTAGAATGGTGCAGCTCCTGGCTGCTTTAATAAGTCCTGGTAGGAAGGCTTATGAAGTATACCAATCAGGTGGTGGTGATTATTGCCATTAATCTGGGTAAATCTTTGCTGGGTATCATGAAGTATGGAATTCTATTTTGAAATAGCTTACTGACTCTGCTCTGCTGGAAGGGTCGATTCCCTTCTCCCAGGCAGTATAAATTTAAATGGATGAATCTGTTACAGCCATAAGTATCAACAGATAAGATACTTGCATATTAGGGAGCTGTGTGAAAAGTTGCAGTTCCTTCATTGTCTCTTGATAAATCACTATCATGTCCCACATTTAAGTTAGCTGAAGGCAATCTGACAATTTGTGAATGTAAAGGCCCTCAGAATGATTCTAGAGATTATGGGAAATTAGGAATGCTGTGGGGTATTGCATACCAGACTTGGTATGCTGACTTTCTCTGAAGGTGATTGAGATTTCAAAACTAGGCTTTGTACCGGGTACAAGCATGTCATAGCGTGAGTGGATGTGGTTGGAAAGTAGCAACTGCCTTCTAAGAACTTCATATCTTGTGCCAAGATAGTCAGAGAAACTATCCCAAAGAATGAGGAATATCAGGAGCTTCCTAATTGAATGTCCTGAAATAAATCTCACCAGAATGACAAAGTTTGCCAGTGAACTGTCAAATGCAGGAAGCTTATTATCAAGTGCCCTTGGCAAAGTCGAAGTTGGTGAACAGGAAAAGATTCTTTCAAGTTAATAGACTAGCTCCTGCAGAAATTTGTCATGAGGAACAGATGCCAGGTGGCTTTCCTGCACGTGGTGGCATTTGTTTTTGCTGGGCCACCTGTAGACTTGAAATTATTCAAGCTACAATCTCAGTAGACCTGGGTGATGATCAAACTCTTTTGAGGGTGATGAACTTAAAGGCAGGTAAGTGAAGTTCTTTGGTGTATTCAAGTAACCCTGTGTGTACAAGGTCACAGTCCCAGAAGTGTTCTGGCTTCATTGAAACTGGAGAAAGATTTGCTGTACTTAAGTGTACCCTTATTTTGTGTCATCTGCCTTTTAGCTTTGTAGCAGAGGATGCTTCTTTGGGGACAAGGTGAATTACTCCGCTTAATCTTCAAATAATCTGTACTTTTCTCAGGAAGTTCATTAAATATAAAAGTGTTTTATTGCTCTGGATGCTCTGTGGCATAAAAAGCATTTCTGTCCTTGTGAGGGGTTCATAAACCAAGTGTTGGCAGACACAGTTGCTCTGCATAAGCCGATGACCTCTCATCTAATGAGTCTCAGGAAGCCTTCTAAGATTCTTTCCCCTGCTTCTGCCACAGGCAGTACAGCAGGATTTTAGATTTTCAGTCGTAGAGCAGATACTTCTCCCACATTCCCTAGCTGTCAGTGAATGATCTAGTGGCACAGAGTGTTTTTGTGACTGGTTTTTGCCAGGAGTCAGTAAAGAGTGGAGAGTGTTCTACAGAGCAAGAGAAAGAAATGCTTCAATGCGTTCCACATTCTTGTTTCCCCTTATGACCCCCAAGTCTTATCTTCTGTCTCAGTCTCTAAAATAGGTAAAATCCTCGGCTACACCCAATTAATTGTTTGAAGACACCAGGCTTTCTTTACATTACCTTTTCCATTCATAGTAGGATGCTGGCTGATCTTGACAGATGAAGGTTACATTGGTTATGTTAGGGTCCATCTGAGCATTACTCTCAGCCAGAACCAATCTTTGCTGTGCCTTTCATGGGCAAACTTGTTGAAAGGTTAAGTCACTCTGAGGGTGTTGATATAATATTAGCAAGGTATATGAGTATCCTTGAATTTTTTGGCAACCAGATAGCTGCTAACAGTAGAGCAACATTTTATGTGATACTGCATGAGCTTGAAAGCTAAGGGATAGTCAGACATTAAATTAATAATGTGTTCTTTATAGGGACAGAGATGCTTTCAGTCTATGTCTTAATCTGCTCAAATATGTTCAAATTTTATATAAATGATTGCATTCATCTCTTAGAGTACACACCCACCCACACCTCGTTAAACTAGAACAAAATGTGCCAATGCTAGGAAACTAAACTTCTTAGGTATATGTAATAACAGACTGTTTATACAACATAAGCGGTAGCACCGAAGAACACTGACATTTTAGGCAAGCAGAAACCTTATGAAGAGTAGTGAGACTGAGATCTCCATGGAAAACATGCATTGAAGAACCACAGTTACTCTGGTAAGTAACCATTTTTCCTAGTGACTGCTTTGGTATAACTAGAGTTTTGAAAAGAGTTTCCTTTGTATAACTTCTGTTTGTGGTTCTCCATCTTTAATAGTCGCACTTACGACCTCAATCTGTAGGCTGGTCACACTTGTGACCTAAATCTGTGAGCTGGATAGGCTGACTTCTAGAGCCAAATATATTTCCAGAGGAGCACAAGGGAACTTCCTGACCTACTGCCTTGGCTTCTTTCAGCAGCTGCAATAGGCTGCTGTATCATAACCTAGAAAAGAAATTATGGCAGCTCACCTCAGGTTGAGGTCAGTGTAAAGACTGGTTGTAATTTAAGTCATACTTGAGAATTACTTAATAATAATGAAAGTCAGAAGGGTGAAAAACACCATCAATCTACATTATCAAATATTCTTTATCAGCGTGGGACCAACACGAAGTACTTCAATAAACCAGTTTAAGGACAGAGAGAAAATAGGAAAGTATTTCAGCGCTTTAGATTTTTGGTTTTTTAGTTCTATCCTCACCATACATTTGAACTAACTCATAGCTTCTCAAGAAAAATTAACTAAAAAACTGCAGCAACATGAAAAAAAACTTTTTGGTGCATTTTACATTCATTGAAGAAGCTCTTTAAAGTCAGTGGCAGCTTTTGAAGAGTGTGAAGTTAATGACACACATTATTTAATTGACAGCGGATGTTTAGATCTTGTTCTGAACAAACCCGGAGTACTTGGAAGTTCCACGTAGATGCAGATAGTTTAGTTTCTGAGTCTTAATAATTTCTCGGAGAAATGAAGATGTATTCCAAATGCTGAGGTCAGGCCAGGTATTTTTAATTAGTGTCAGAATTTGAGCCATCTGCTAGAAAGAAAGTAAGCCAAGCTTGCAACTGACTTCACCTGCGTGCCCCCCGCAAGTAAATACTTGATCGATACAATTCCTTTCCCAATCTAGTCCCCGGTAACTGTTCTTCCATGTAGTTGTTAACAGTTGTCATGTCTGTAAGAAGATCTATAGGTATAACTATTCAGGCTCCTCATTTGATTGTTATATGAGTATCTATATAGTATGAAGATGACAGGTAAGTGTAAAATATTTCTGGAAATGTTGCAGGAGGCAAGACACCTTAGAAGTTAAGGAAGTTTGTCTTCTGCATATGAAAAAGCAAGACTAAACACTGGAATATTGTAAAATACCTTCAGAAAAGAACTATTTCACGTAATATTTTAGAAGCAGATAAGACAAAAAAGCTTGAGGAGAGTATGATAATTAAAAAAAACCCCCATGAAAGTGTGCACTGCCATGAAAAGCTTTTGAAACTCCTTTTGTAATCTA